GTTTCCATTTTTTCCTTTTCTCATATTTTTTCTTTTCCCTTCTTTCCTTTCCCCTACCCCTCCCACTTCCCCTACTCCTTTAGAAGTTTTCTTCCTATTTCACATTATCAATTATATCATTTGAACTTTATTTACACTTAGTTTCTCACACCAGAGAAACTACCAATAAATAAAACTTTTTAAAGTAACATTTTATTTACAATTGTTTCAGAATTACATAAAACTTGCTATGATAGTATATAAAATTCCAATGTACCCCCCCAATCAATTTCCTCTATTAGTAACACCTTAAATTAGTATGGCACCTTTGTAACACATAGTGAATATTGATACATAACTAGCTAAATCATATTTGATTCAGTGATTCAGATTTCCCTAGTTTTTACTTAATGCCCTTTTTCTAGTCCAGATTCATGCCCTTGGTAATATGTTTAGTTGTCACATCTCCTTAGTTTCTCAGATTTTGTTTTCACGACCTTGATGGTTTTGAGGAGTACTGATGGGTATTAATTTATGGGATTCTCTTTTTTAATTAATTTTATTGGTATTCTTTTGAAATACATAATGATTACATTTAGAATAGGGAATTTGACCTGTACATAATATATCTAGATTCTTTTTTTCCCATTCCCCTCCCTCAACCCTTCTTTCCCTCATTTGCAAAAGCCTTGTTTCCATTTTTTCCTTCTATTCTCTTTTTTTTCTTTTCCATTCTTTCCCTCACTCCTCCCTTGTTCCCCTTCTCATTTGAACATTTTCTTCCTACATCCCAATATCTATCATTCATTTTGGTCCTTATTTATGCTTTTGGTTTATCACAGAAGAGAATCAATGCAATATTCAAACTTGTGTGTCCAATTTATTTCTCTTAAAAGTATGGTCTCAAGATGCATTCATTTACCTTAAAATGTCTCAAGTTTATCTTTCTTTATGGCATTGTATATAAAAATGACATTTTCTTTATCCATTCATGCATTGATGAGCACCTGGGCTGTTTCTAAGATTCAGCTATTACAAATTGTGCTGCTATAAACATGGATGTACTGTGATATAATGCTTTTAACTATTTCAGGAAAATACCAAGAAGGGGAATAGCTAGATCAAATGGAACCTCTAGTTTTTTGAGGAAACTCCATGCAGATTTCCATATTAGTTTTACCAATTTACACTCCCACCAACAATGAGGGAAGGTTCCTTTTTCCCCACAGCCTTGTCAGCATTTGTTGTTGGTTAATTTCTTGATGAAAGCCATTCGTTCTGGAGTGAGACATAATTTCAATGTTGTTTTTATTTTCACTTCTCAAATGACCAGTAATGTTGAACATTTTTTCATATATTTATTTGCTGTTTGTACTTTTTCATCTGAGAAGTCTATTCATTTCAGATGTCCGTTTTTGGACTGGGTCTTTAAATTTGGGAAATCTGATGTTTTTCAGTTCTTTATATATTCTAGATATTAGTCCTTTGTCTGAGGAATAGGTGGTAAAAAAAATTTCCCACTGGGCCAGGGATTTAGCTCAGTGGTTCCACCACCTGCCTAACAAGAGAAAGATCCCGAGTTCGATCCCTGGTACCAAAA